TTGATAGTTTAGACACTCCAAGCAAGTTGTGGTAAAAGATTTTGAGAACTTACAATTGCTAATTTACAAACGTTTGAGGACTAAAACCCCTCTAGCATGCTTGATACATGCAAAGGGGAACAACACTCCAAAAATCAAGCCAACATATGCATACGTATAATATATATATATATATATAAATTAATGTCAAATCACAAATCACAAATTATATTTAATATGCTCTTGATAATTACATCTTAATTAAAAGCCAATTTATTTTTGGCGATGAAAGATAATGTCATATCTATTTAAGACTAATTTTTCATGACGTTTAAATTCTTGAGACTGCAATTTCTTGTTCATATCCCACCTTCTACACATTTTTATGTCTTTATATATGCTAATATTAATGCGGATTTGTTAGCTCGATCATCACGCTCATGATAGTGATATTAATATTCTCCTTCCCTTGGTCGTAAGAATCTTTTGTGATCTTATGTCAATTTTAACCAAGCCACTGACCTAATCCCTTGCACAACCTACCTGACGTAATGGTGGCCTTATATATTAAAATAATGAAATTTGAATAAAAATAATATATACTAAACAATTTGACAAATGGAAAGAATCAAATTGATCTTTAGCCTTTAGGACTATAAAATATATACGTTTTGTTTCCCATCTTTACCAAATACAGCTATCCAAATAGATAATCTATATAAATATATTATTAACTTATCAAGCTGCCTAGCATGCTTCAAAAGGAAGACAGTTATGCTCAACTCATGATATATATTTTCCAAATTATTAATTTTGCACTATTTAAATTTATAATACAAAAAGAAAAGTTTTCAATGGAATTGTATACGGATACTTTGTTCCAAAATTCAATATACATATATACTTTGTATATTTTAGAACAGGATTAGCCAATAATATGCTTGAAATATACAAAATTATGAAATATATATATATATATATAATAAAATAAAATAAAATCAAGTATTAAAATACTTTCTCCATTCCTAACCCAAGATGATCCATGGTAATTGTTCATGGTTTTCAAAATAAAAGTGTGGCTACTTTTATTTTATGTTTCATATTGATAAGTTATATTTACAACAGCATAAAGATGCAACAACTATTAGGGTAAAATGATGATGATTTGTCTCGAGTATGTGTGAATGTAAAAGATATCTTTTGAAAAAGTTTCCATTAATTAGACCCAAAAATATTTAAATATGTGACAATTAAATAGCTATATAAAAAAGATAATAATGCATTTATTGTGGTTTTTTTTTTAAAAAAAAAACTTCGTTGGATTCTCTTATCCTCAATTCAACGTTGCGAAGCCAGGTGGGTGTAGGCAACATTATCTGTCCCTTATCTACTAACCAAACAAGCGTCCAACAAATAAAATGAAAATTATTTAATTATCCATTTGAATGCCTACAAAAGATGTCTTTAATTTGGTGGAAGGCTGTTTTTGTACGTTTGATTTAATATTTGATCTAACTAGGCCAATTCATAATTAACCCAAAATTAATTAATCAATCATTGCATCGAAAAATAAAAAAGACCTCGATCTTTCTTTAGCAGTTGATCGATACTCTTAAGCTGCCATTTTGAAATTCCATTCTTAATAATATCAAACATTAAGGAAACAAAAACCTTTACTTAAAATGCATAGTCACAGATTTTTTTTTTAAAAAAACCATAATTAAGTTTCAGTAGTTAAGAAGTTATTTTAAAAATAGTAGATCCATAGCTTTCTGAACATAACCTTTTTTCCACTTTTTAGCGACCTGATAATCATTGTTTTGATATTTGGCCACATCCCCAAACACAGAATAATTTTCCAAAATGCTCACCTTTATTATCATCCATAGCGGCGTGGCTCTTAGCATGTGGTTGCAACCATACCGTAATTAATTGATTTAACTATTATTATAGGACAATCTTGCCATTAGCAATAAAACTATAATTGGAAGAAAGCTAATTAAGCATGGTTCTAGTGGAGGTTTTCACTTTCACTTTCGAATCTAATGTCTAAAGATAAAAGGGGCCCCACCAAACATATCGTAATTAAAAAAATACTGCAAATAAAATAAAGGAAAAAGCCTAGTTTTGTGGCGTTATATATATATATATATATATATATATATATTAAACACCAAAGGACATTCCCAATAATAAAATATTTGAAGCCTGATAAAACTAATATAACCACCCTTGTAATAACTCGTAAAATTAATTAATCTCCAATACACACACACATATTAAATTATACATTTAATCTTTTAACTCTACACAAAATTTTATTGTAATTTTTTAATTTTATAAAATATCTTTTCAATCCTTTAACTCTAGTATCATTATCTTTATCACAACAAATTTTTATATTAAACTTTTAAATATTAAAAAAATTATTAAATATTTAATTTTTTTTTAAAAATAACAATGATTGACACGAAAAAATAATCATTTAAAACTCATTAATGACGTTAGGGTAAATAATTGAAAAGATACTTTATAAAATCAGAGTTCAAATTAAAATCTTATATAAAATTAAAGGCCTAAAATTATACTTTAGACTGTATAGATTTATATATCTTTTATTTTGTTTTCTTGCTAACGGACATTGTAAGGCACATATAAGTGCACGAACCTTGTTGTGTCATGATCTAAATTAGTTAGTTTTTTGAATCAGCTGTGCCACACAGATTGTTGGTAGATTAATTATGTTTTATTTAGCCTATATATATACACACACTTCATTGATTAAAAAATGTATGGCATTTTTGAGAGTATTTAGAAATGTTAAAAGATACAAGGTATTTTTGATGTTTTGATGTGTAATTAATGTGCTTTTATAAAAAATATCCCTAATAAATAAGTTACTTTTTATTTATTTTAAAATGAAATAACTTATTAAATAAGGTAATATTGAAAAAATGGTGTTAGTTGAAAGTCTAATATGTAACAACTTTATTGGAGAGTGTAATTTAGTTAAAAAAATTTTATATTTTTAAATGGAGAGAATATATCCTTTATTATTCACTTAAATTATGTTTTTCTACTAACAGACATCGTAAGGCACATATGAGTACACGTACATACCTTGTTGTATCATAATCTAAATTAATTAGTTAATCTTTGAATCAGCTGCCCCACGCATCATTGTTGGTGGATTAATTATATTTTATTTAGCCTACACACATACACACTTTACCCGTTAAAAAATGTAAATCATTAATAAGTCACTTTATATTTATTTTACAATAAAACATTCTATTAAATAGAGGCAAATATAAAAAAATAATGTTACTTAAAAAACAATTAACTATTTTATCAGGGAGCTTGATTCAGTTAAAACTTAAAAAATGTCTCATATTTTTTAATAGAGAGAATATATCTTTTATTTTGGCACATATGAGTACACGTACCATGTATCATAATCTAAATTAATTAGTGAATCATTGAATCAGCTGCCACCACACATGATTGTTGGTAGATTTATTAATGGATTAGTGAAACCCTCTTTAATTTATTCTGTATCCTTAATCCGAGATTAGATTCTTGGAAGATATTTCTTCATCAACCTGCCGACCCTATGTTGTGTACGGATGAATGAGATTTGCAAATTTTGTAGTGCGGCATTCTGTATTCTTTGTACTTTGGATCAAGATCGAAGAAAACCAAACAAAAAAAAATTGAAGTAATATAGGGTCTGTTTGTTTGTTTTTTTTTTTTTAAACAGAAAAATTTAAAAACTTGTTTGGATTACTGTTTCTGATTTAATTGTTTTCAAAACTATTTTCATTTTTCATTTTTAAAGACAAAAAAAAACAAATTTAAGTTATTTTCATTTTATTTTTCTTATTTTCAAAATACACCATTTTATTATAAGAAATTTCAGTTATCTTGACCAATTTTTTTTAAAAAAAGCACTATCATTAACCATTTATAGTCATTACTATCAGTCTATTATTTTAATTTTAAAATTATTTTTAAATTAACATAACCTGATGAATTTTCATTTGGTTTTGTTTTGTTAAAAAAATTCTAAAATCTATATTATAAAACATTTTTCAGAAACGAAAAAAAAAATGAAAATAGAAACTAAACAGGCTCATAGTTACTCGATTGAGTGAAAGGGATTTGATGTCCTTTTGTCAAAGTTCATGTTTGAGTATTGTGGATTAATTAAATACTACCACAAGAAAGACACATGAGAACATAGCTATCAAAGTAGAACTTACAGGAGCACTCCTTGTATGAAGCACTCTCGTCAATCTTCACCTATCAAACACTTCTGTTAAAAAGCATTTCGGTAAGTCCACCTTTTTTAAATGAAAAAAAATTAACATTTACCTAATTGTTTGGACAGTTTTTTTTTTTTTTAAAAAAAATGGAATACCTGCAGGAGAGCTTGCCACCATAGAAGCGCCATCCCTATGGGAACGGTGGCTCTTATAAGCGTTCCCATATAGCCAATGCCTATAGGAGCGGTTTTTAAGCATTTCTTATGGAGCTATTTTGAAGCGCTTCCATTGGTATATAGATAGAGAGCTCTCTTTCGAAGCGAAAATAATTATTTTTAAAAAAATTCTTAATTGAAGCTCCACAACTCTGTTATTGTCAAATTTTTTATATTCCAATTGCATGTATGTGGTAGATATTGTGCATATACTCTAAATGTTAATTGGGTAACAAATCGTGGTGGGGCAAGAAAACACAAAAGCCTTGCGCGTGCGTGAGCCTTAACCTAGCGTGGATATATATATATATATAATAGATTAATCAAGCTGAAGAGTGGGCAATGAAAAGCTAGAGACAAAAAACACATTCTATTATTAATCTACATAACTTTTGTCTACTATTATTATTGAAGCCTAGGTTATTCATGATTCCCATAAAGAACATTCGCAAGTTCCAATCTCTCTCTTTCTCTCTCTTCCCACCTCCTGTCTCCATCCCACTCCACATAAAATCATTATCATAATGAATTATAAGCCAAACCCTTCTTCTCTTCTTGTTCTTCCTGGTATATATATACAATATTACCTCTTCTTCATCATCAGCTTCGAGTTTCTGTAATGAGAAACACCTTTTAGTTCATATAGATATATATATATATAAGCACACTCAGTATCGTAATAATTTCTCTATGGAGTTCAAGATCAGAAGCTATGACGAACAATCTGATAGAGCTCAAGTGGAAGATCTCGAGAGAAGGTGCGAGGTAGGGCCAGCAGAAAGCGTTTTTCTCTTCACAGACACTATGGGTGATCCCATTTGTAGAATCCGAAACAGCCCCAAATACAATATGCTGGTAAATATATATATATATATATATCTATAAGTTAATATGTTTTTCTTCCTCCTTCGTCCTTATACGTTTGATTATGAATTGATTACACGTATACTCAATATACAGCTTGCTTGGGTTTCGATGTTGTTGATGATTAGGTAGCAGAGTTGGATAAGGAATTGGTTGGTGTGATTCAAGGTTCTATAAAATACGTGACAGTACCATGCAAGGATTTGGCTAAGGTAGGCTATGTCCTAGGTCTGAGGGTAGTGCCTCAACTTCGAAGAAAGGGATAGGTTCAAGGCTTGTTTTAAAACTCGAAGAATGGTTCAAATCAAACGACGTGGACTATGCTTACATGGCGACAGAGAAAGAGAATCATGCTTCTGTTGGTCTTTTCATGAACAAGTTTGGGTACACCAAGTTCAGAACACCTTCTATTCTGGTGAACCCAGTGAACCATAGGTGCTTCAGAATCTCACCCAACATTGAGATTTCAATGGTCAAGATCGATCAAGCTGAATCTCTGTACAGAAGATTCATGGGGTCCACTACTGAGTTCTTCCCCATTGACATAGACAAAATACTCAGAAACAAGCTTAGTTTAGGGACATGGGTGGCTCACTTCAAAGGAGATTATTTTGGGAGCCAAACAGTCCCTAATAGTTGGGCCATGCTTAGTGTTTGGAACAGTGGAGAAATCTTCAAGCTGAGGCTAGGCAAAGCACCTTTCTATTGCTTGCTATACACTAAGAGTTGGGGTTTGATTGATAAGATTTTCCCATGCTTGAAGCTTCCAAGTTTGCCTGATTTCTTCAGTCCATTTGGGTTTTATTTTTTGTATGGGGTTTATCATGAAGGGCCATTCGCTGAGAAGCTCGTGAGAGGGTTGTGTGAGTTTGTGCACAACATGGCAGCCAAGTGTAAAGATGAGAATTGTAAGATCGTTGTGACTGAAGTTGGAGGGAGAGATGAACTGAAACATCACATTCCACATTGGAAATTGCTGTCAAGTACTGAAGACTTGTGGTGCATAAAGGCACTCAAAAATAATAATGATGCCTCCAATAGTACTACGTTTCATGAGTTAACCAAAACTCCACCAACTAGAGCTCTTTTTGTAGATCCAAGAGAGGTTTAAAGCTATATATCTCTCAAGCAATAAAGCAAATAAAAAAAAAAGTAATGATGATGATTAAAAAAAGTTGAGTTAATTAGTATTGTCATCTGTTATATATTTCTTTATTATTTCTCTCAGTTTGGTCTTTCACTTTGAATCTCAATCCAGTTCTTTGTCTATAATTAAAGATAGGAGATACTTAAAATATTAGATGATATATATACACAACATATGCAATTGGTAAAATTTTAAAGGAATAATATAATTTCAAGTACCTAAAGTTCCTCTTAATTAGTGATTTATATGGTCTCTAAACTTTGATTCAATTCAGTTCAATTCTCTTGAAATTTGTTGAGTTGAGGAATTATATATACACCAAGTAGAGCTCTTTTTGTAGACCCAAGAGAGGTTTAAAGTTATCTCTCAAAATGAAGAAATAAAGCAAAAAAGAAAAAGAAAAAGAAGGTGATGATGATAAAATAGTTGAATTAGTATTTTCATCTGCTATATATTTCTTTATTGTTTTCTCAGTTTGGTCTTTTTCTTTTTTGTCTGCCAATTCCAACTTGCAATCTACAGGTTGAGTGTGCAGCACAGTTTGTTCTTTCACTCTGAATGTCAGTTCAGTTGTGTCTGCAAAGATAGCAAATATATAAAGTATTATTAGATGATATACATACATTATACACAACATCTGGAAATTGTTGAAAATTTAAAAGGATAATATAACTTTGAGTCCCCAAATTTACTCTCAATTATTGATTTTCATTGAATTGAGGAATTATATGGGATTGAGTCAATTATACCTACTCAAAAAACTATAAGGACTGAGTTATTGATGTGAGTTAACAAATTATACGGATTAAGTTGTTTTGAATTAAATTTCATGAACTAAATCATAATTAATAAATAGTTCAATGATCAAACGTTATATTTTCTATATTTTAAAGTTAGAAGGGCCTATTTATTAATTCACCTTGGTACCTTCAGTTTGGTACACAATCAATTAAGTCCTTTTAACTTCTATCTCATATTATCAGAATTGTTTAACACTGCTATATATACTAAATATTTGATGTATATATGTTAAAAGTACTATATGATATGGCAAAAAAAAAAAAAAAACCTAGTATCTCATTTGACATATGGTACATCTGTTTTTTAATTTTGATAGAGAGGAACGTTTTATTGGCACTTTAAATTGAATGACATGAGACTAGGAATATTTAAAAGGAAAAAAATTTATATGTGCAGTCTTAAATGTTTAACATGCATGCCTGTTTTCTATCAAACCAAGACATATAGCTATTTTACATATTATTTAGGCTAAAGTATACATTTAGTTATTTAATTTTACATAACATTTTATTTTAGTCCCTTAACTTTATAAAGTATTTTTCTAATTAGTCATTTAACCTCAACATTGTTAGTTTTATCTCAACAAATTTTTACATTGAACTTTCAAATACAAATATTCTCAAATGTTGACATATTAAGTTTAATTTGTTCAAAATAATAATGATTGACATAAAAATAATTATTTGAAACTAATGATATTAGGGTTAAAAAACTAAAAAGATACTTTATATAAAGTTAAAGGATTAAAAGTATACTTTAGCCTATTATTTATTATATAGCAACTCTTGTTATTAAGTCCACTTGCTTGATTTGATTGGACAACATTAGTACTTTCTCCAGTCTCGATTAGAAGGTACCTCTAACTATCTCATTGTAAAATAAATTTTCAATTTTATCCCTATTTAGATGGTAATTTTTCAAATTCTACATTCCATTTTTCAAGTCTTTCATTGTTAATGAATTTAAATAGGGATAATATTGGAAAAAAAAACATAATTAATAACTCATCAAATACCTTATTGATGGAAATTATATTTGATTTGATTTAGAATTTATTAAAATTTGATTTAGTATTTAGGGATTGATATTATTTTTTTAGTATCTTAGATTTATTTTATCTTTAAGTATTATTTCAAATAAAATAAGATAGTTAAACTAACTAGATACTTGATCATCATCTTTTAGATTATGATTTGATTTATATTTAGATTTATTATTATTTTTATTATTTTCAGGGCTCTATAAATAGCCCTAAGGTTTCTCAATTTTAAGTATTAAATGATAAGAGTTCTTTTTTTTTGGTCTCCTCACTCTCTCCCTCTTTCTTCTCCTTTCTCTTTCTCTCTCTTCCCCTCTCTCCCTTCCTGTTTTACATCACTTATATTAAATATACCAAATAATCTTTCTAGAAGGCGAAGGGAATATATATTAAACATACAAGGCTAAGTATTTACATCCTTTTAAATTAATTGAAGTGACCCCTATCGAACTAAACTGACCACACAATGATAATAAAACAGAAATTGAATTGAAAAAAATTATAAAAAAAGCTTAAAAGAGATAAATTTGTACTAAATTAAAAAAATTACAAAACTATAAAGTTCAAAAGTTTGACAGAAAATATTCATAGATATATTGACCATATACAGTTCTAGTCTTATATATTATTTGGTTTTTGATAGCCCAAGTATGAAACCCCACCTCATGCATTGTTGTGGTGGGGGTTTATCTCTTGTACCTTTCACATCGGCGACACAAAATCTGAAAAGATTTCCATACTTAGGTGCCATCTTTGGTGTCCTTGCAAGCAACTCCACCTTGTGCCCAATGATTCAGACTGATGAATCAACTGGAATATACAAACACACATACACAAACAAATTATATATATCTATATACAAGGTGGTCCTCACTTTGTCCCTTCCTCACAGGTAAAAATACTTGAACTACACAACCTAGCTAGCTTTTCCCTTTTACTCTGTCCCATCCATGATTCCATATCACACATGTTGAAAGATATTGAGGCCATTGTTTCATTTCAATAAAAGTATTTGATGTTTGATGCCATTGAATCAAGGGTAATTGAGCAGATTACTCTTGAACTTTTAGTCTAGTAGTACTGTATAGACCTTAAACTTGTACACATTGTTCTATCAACTTTTAAAAAGGACCATCTAGTCTCTGTTATTAAAAAAATTAACTTTAATCGTTAATTGACTAAAAAAGGATTGTAAAATTACAAAAAAATTTGGTCATTTTCTATTATTTTTTGAATCCTTATCTGTAATTTTTGGATCCTTTATTATATTTTTTTGGTAATTGTTGAGGTTCTTTTATATTATTTTCTAATCAACTAATAATTAAAGTTAACTTTTATTAATTATAGAATTAAATTGCACCACTTTTAAAAGTTACAGGAACAATTTGAACAATAAATGATTTCATGGTTTATGGTGCTACTTGACCTAAAGTTAAGAGGGTAATTTATTCATTTACCCTTGAATTAAATTCAATTATTGTTAATTAATCTGATAGCGATAACTCTCCTAACATGATGTTTTCAGTTATCCATTCACAAGAATTAAGTAAACCCTTAACCCGGAATCTTGGGAAATCAAGTCACTTTTATCGATCTTGTCTAACTATTGAGTCAGATTTAAACATTTTCGAGTGATCTAATTGAGAAAAACTCTCCCAACATGATGAATTTCGTTGGTAAAATTCAAATTGTTAAACTTACTTAGAGGAAATCGAGTCACTTTCACTCTATCTAACCATGGATGTTAGTAGGCCATTGTTACATGGGAATGATGATCTGTTTCATGATCGAAAAAAAAAAAAAAAAACAAATCAGTACTTCAAATCTTGGCAGGTTTCTGCTTTGTTTATATGTTTCTGCAGAAGCATTATTTGTTGTCGCTAACTTGGTGGGGAATATTGATTCCCTGAAGCTACCGTAGATCAACTAACTTTTTGAGGGAAAAAAAAATAAAAAATAAAGAACCAAAACGCATGCATGTTATTGGCTACGGCTTTCTATGAGTACTATATCTAATATCTTTGTCTGTGTCAAAAGTTAATAATTAGGGACCTATTCAATCTGCTATGATGATTCGCACTGTACTATAAAGAGTTTGATTTATCAAGGCTTTTGTATGATCTATGAAAAACTTTATCATGATGGTGTGTCTACTTCCTCCGTTTCTTTTTATATATAGTACCCAATTTTCTGCCCTTTTACAAGATCCTTTTTAAAATTTGTAGAAATTATTATAAAACCTTTTCCGGGTATACCTCTAATAAATGGCTTATCATATCATTAGTACATTTAATGATTAGTACATTTAATTATGAGTAGAGTTTTGAAAGAAGAGAAATAAATTTAGGCATAAACAATTTCCTTGGTCTCTGTGAATTTGACAACTAAGTACTTTAGTAAGGGATAGAGGGACCTTCTATCCAAATTGTAAGACATTTTTTTTATATTAAGCTTAGTTCACAATGTAGGATATTTAGTACTTTTGAAAATTATTTTTCCAACTTTACCCTGTATTAATTAATGTTGGCATATGTGAAAAACATAATTTTATTTGACTACAAAACACTTCTCACTCTGAATAGTAAAGGAATTAACAGGAAAAAAAAATAAAAAGACATGTCATTATATTTTTCTTGAATGTAAGGAAATAACTATGTTTATTGATATACTCCTTCGGTTTTATTTATAAGACACTTTTCACGTAAAAAAATTATTAAAATTTATTAACTCTGTATAGAAATTTAATAATTTCTTAACTCTACCTGTATTAAATATACATACTTTAATAACATATTTTTTCTTTTTAACATTCAATGAATATGAAATGTAAAAATTTGCTATGAACATTTAATGAAGTGATTTATGAATATAATAAAAAAAAATCTCTCTACTCTATAAATAGGATTGGAGGAAATATAAAATATGATTGAAAGTGTTTTACAATTTGGACAATATTTGTGAGAGAGAGAGAGAGAGAGTGTGTGTGTTTGTGTGTGTGAGAGGGGGAGAGAGAGAGAGACAAATGAAACTGACACTAACTACTACCATTGATGAAGAATGATGACCACCGAGGAAACTAACATGTTTGATTTCACAAATTTCAAACTTGTAGGCAATGCTTGTTGCTTTCCCTTGTAAGGAACACTTAGTACAAGGACAAACTAGCAAAAACGCGCGACCTTCAAAACTTTCGTC